AGCTGGGAGATATTATAAATTAATAACTATTTCAAACATCGTGCAAGCAAGAATGCGCTTGTGTTCGGCTTCGGCATAGCTTCCATTCACGTTCTGCGCGAGGTGGATAACTTTTCGTTGTTAAATATTCGATAACGTAATAAGAGCACTTGGGCACGCGCGCGCATTTGATACTCTTCCCCCTGCGATTCAACTCGACACCGGAACAGATTTCACACAGCAGCACATACAATATATGATTTAAAAAAAGAGAAATTGTAATAAATTCCAAGTTGCGCGAAACATAATTCGCTTAGAACGATTTGCGTCGCGATATTTTTTTTCAAGAATTTCTCTCGTTGAAAAATAACTCGCGCGGCGCTTCATCCATTCGCGGGGCGCCGTCTTAAATAATTCAGATTTTTCTGAACGGCGGAGCGTTTTAGAAGTAAACGCTTCTTGGATGTACGAGAGAGCTCCTCTGAAATTTTCCACAGGATTCTTCGCAGGATTTTACTTACCGGAAACAACAATGCAAATATCGCCCGATGCTCTTTAGACTCTGCTAAGGACGGCCGGCGGGACGACCGGCGGGCGAGAGGGAGGGAGGGAGGGCTGAGACTTGAATATCGCATTACTATCTCAGACAGCGACGAAGGCTTTTCGCAGCGGGTGATCCTGAAACGAGATCGCCTCCGAAAGCCCGGAGATTTATGATCCGCGCGGTTTCTCGTTACTTCCTCAACCAAATATCCTCTCTCCCCGGCTTTTCTCTCGCTCTCCCATCCGCTTACCCGCCACCACCGAGCCTTCTCGTCTCCATCCGCCTCTTTCCGGCTTGACTTTCTCCCGCGAAAGTGAATATTTATGAAAGATGTAAATAACGAGCGGGATAATTTTCTCTTCGTGAACCACTCTTGTTTACAGCCAACCCTCTCTGTTTGTCCCGCCATTTCCCATTCTGCATTCTCTAACCACGTTGTTTCCGTTCGTTTCGACTTGCGCGCATTGTTTGCATTTTCTGTGACATCGCACCGGATGCAACGCGTCTTTTGCGCCATTGAAGCGCCGAATTATCTCCGTGTCCTTCGAGACGCGACGTCTGATTCGGTGATTCAGCGATTGAAATATCTACGAAATGGCACTTCTTGACGCTCTTCAAGTTTGCCTTGCGATAATGTGTGATCGTATTAAAATTTGTGTCTATTCTTATACGTAATAATTTATACAAGTTGAGTATAAAGTGAGTTTTTTTTGGATTTCAAATACCTACACTGCCATGCGAAAACATAGCGAGAAAAATCTGAGCAGTCGTGGAATCGCGGATTCTCGGAGAATTAATTTCACATTAATATTTGCTCTCAATATTCGTGAACAATGCATTATCTCGGTTCACTTCCAGTCGATAAATCCTTCTACCGTTGCACGTACGCGATCTTCGCGAGTTAAGAAGCACAAAAAGACGCGTTGCTTAACAGGGACGATCAACCTGAGAAAACGCTTCATCACGATATCTTGCAAGGACACGAAATCACTCTCTCAAAATCTGTATGCGGGGTCGACTTTATCCGATCATCCCTTTCCTTCCTGAAACTCGTAGTCTCCTAATCGTACCTACATATCCTTCGGGTAAATTTTTGAAAGCAGGCGCGTCTTTTATTTTGTACACGCTGCATACAAATTGCTACTATTATAACTCGAAATATATTTGGCTTACGTTGAATCTTTTTGCATTCGTTTCGCACTTCTATTGCTTCTCTTTAATCCGTGCGATATTGAAAGAATCTATTCACTAAACATGAGCATTCTAGAATATTTCGTACGCGTTAAGTATTTATAAAGCATTAGAGAGACTACGTAAATTTTAAACTAACATTATTAATAAAGCTGCATAAGCGAATAAAGCAGCCGGTCGAGCGCGTCGGATCATCCGCGGAAGCGAGAGAATTAAAAACAGAAAAATTCACGCGAGAGCACAGCTCGGCGGAGTCACGCTCGCGTTCATTGAAAGGATTAAAATCCGCGTAGGACGGGAGGATGTAGCGCAACCGTTCGCTTACTTAGAGAGTGGAAGGGCTCTCCCTTTTCTTTCTCCTCACCGTCTTCGTTCGTGCTCTCTTCAGCCGTCATCCCGCTTTACCGCCCTCTTCGCTGTTCTCTGTGTTCTCCGGCGAGGCCGCGACCAGCAATCAGCGTAATGCACCCGCAGACACATCCTTGCCCGCCCTCACGAGCGCACACAGACACGAGCACGGCCGCCACCGTAGGCGCGTTTACGCGGGCGAACACAGGCGCAAGGCACGGCAAACGGCCAGGGTGCATACCCCTGGGCCAAAGGCCCCGATAACACGAGAGAGCCCCGGAGTAATGCAGACGCAATGGCAATCTCTTCGAGAGCAACGAAATAGATCGTAGGACGTAGACCGATAGCGCAAAACCCATTGCGGTGGTAACCGACCGAGTCTCCCCTTGCTTCCTTCCCTTCTCTTCTCTCACGAAATCTGCCGGCGCCTCGGCGTGAGCTCGGCTACGTCGCTGACAACGTATTCTTCCGATGAGCGCCTAAAAGTTTTTCAACTTCGAAATTCGTTTGCGCGCAGATGCACGTCCTTTGTGTATTTTGCAGGATTTGCGGGAGGAAATGTTAGACTAGGGGAAACGATGTTCTTTCACTCATTGCGCATTCGAAAAGTGCCTCGCAGCTTGTTCTACGTGAGAGCGATGCTACCCTCGTGCGTATGTGTTTACGTGTGTGTGTGTGTGTGTGTTTGGAAAGCCGTTGGAGGCTGATTTGCGGCGGCTCGGTTGATTCCTTGGGATATCGGAAAAGTTAGTATGCGTGCGCCTCTTCATGGACATGGACCACGAAGCGCGCACTCGGGAATTCTGGATGGCTCGAACGCTCGGATATAAATCCTACACGGTTTCGATGCAGTGTGTTTCGCGGGAAATACATATACCTTTATACCAGCAGGCTAGGAAGACTTATGAATTCGCTTCAATTCAATTTTGCTATCGCATTATAATTTCAAATAAACAATTTTGACTACCGAATGCATGCAAAATTCACTTTGTCTTAAGTGCAAAAATTATTACCGCATTCAATAATATTACGGTAACGGTATTGCAGTAATTTTCAAGAAGGTCTTGATTTTACTGCGAAAGTTTGAACGCAAATGTGTCGAGATAACGTGGACACTTTGTAACACGACGGGATGGAAAGTAGGTTGTTCGAGGATAATACGAGTGTGAGATATTAATCTGACAATGACCTAAGACGCTAATTCGCGCTGATGGTATATACTAGACGTCGTTTCAACCTAACAGCGGGCATGAGTGCGCGCCAGCAAACTCATTATTCTTCTTGTCCTGAGGGCGTACATCCCGCGCTCTTCGTCTACGCGCGAATAATCTTCGCCTGGATTTCGCCATTGTATTATTGTGTCTGCCACCGGGTGATAAACTGCGCATTCCGCAGGGAACACGGCTCCGCTCATTACTAATATAGTCGCGCGACGGCGTCCTATCGTAGTTAACGGAGCTCTCATTGCATCCCTAGAGGAACCCGAAGTTAAGCACTCGTCCGCTTTAAAGCTCGGTCATCTTCCGCGCGATAGTTCTTCGTAAAAAGAATCTGCGTCTTCAGAGTGAGTCGTAAAGAGCGTAGTCATTGAGTGTGTCGTAAAGAACGTAGCGTTTTTACCCTAGAAGTATTTTAAAAACATCCAGAAGGATGAATAATCTTCCACTGGACAAAATTATACTCTCTTATGAGCTATTTATTTTTCTCTTTTTTTGAGAAAAAAATTGAAACTTAGAAATAAACGTGAAAAATTTCGAAGGATTTATTCTGCTAGATTAAACGACTTGTTTGTCACACTTATTTCCTTATATACATCTGATTAAAATTAGATTTATATTATTCTTTGATAAACTGCATTCGTAGTCACAGAAAATAATGTAGGTGATTTATAACAGATTAGGTTAATCAAAATTTAATAAAAAAAAGATTTGCAATCCTATTAATATCTTCATTAGCGATACGCAGGCAAGCGCTATGCCGCTAATTCAAGACAGTGGACCATTGGAGGATTATGGAAACTCGTTAACCGGCTAATACCTTTAAATGACCGAGCTTTTTTGTTCTGCGCGTTCTAACGGAACCACCACAAACTTACAGATAGAACAATCCGACCGACACACCGACGATACACACAGTATATAATAGCCGTCACGATAACGTATCGCATGAACCTAGAAGAAAGAAAGAAAAAAAAATAACAGACTAAGAAGAAAAGAAATCAATTTATTATCGCGGTAAATAAAGAAGTACAGATAAGTAGTGAAAAGTTTTCACAGCGATACATTTAATTTAAGTAGTAATAAACAGCAGTGCAGGGAAATACGATAGAATTGATTTACGCAAACAAAGACAGATATAAAACGTCGCGGTAGATATAGTGCGGGATCGCTACAAACATTTTTAATTAAACTTTTCGAAACGAGAAGACAAGGAACGCGAAAGCTTTCTTGATTTCTCAGAAAAGACTGTTCCAAGGCGACAGGGAGGGGGTAGGATCGGGAAGATTAAAGTGCGACCGCATGCAGAATCGATCGCTGAATTACGGCCACATTATGACTACGAAACTTGCTAGAACCGCACTTTCCCGGCGGCAGCGAATTAATCCGCGAGAAAGAAGAGTTGAGCGGCTCCGACGACGGGAACCGGAAGCCGATGATTCATTTCGGAGGAAGCGCACGGTGCAGTCGATGGGGATGGGCTTTGGGGCGGCAGGGTGCATCGAGAGAGGATTTCGTTAACGAGAAACGATCGGCATAGCCCAGACTCGTCGATTAAATACGATCGAAAGATGCTGACGCGCATGGACCATTGTCTAGGAATTTCGTCAGCAAAAATTATCGCGGCTTTATTAATCTCGCGGCACTCCGTGCGCGAATAGTTTTTAATACGCATATGTTTTCTATTCTAAAAATTATGCGTGTGTTTTCTCTTTGTTTAGCCGATAGGCATGCATCTGAAGAAGTACGAGTGGGTAGGCTCGCCGGATATCGGCGACTGTTCGTTGTGGGTGAGATCGGCCACTTTAGAGTTCGACGACGGACTTTGGCAATGCCAAGTAACCGCCAGTGACTTCACAACGCAGGACGCGTTAGCATCCGAACCAGCGAGGCTGGTCGTCAGAGGTGAGTGCGAATTTTCGAAGAAAAATGAATGAATTAAATAAAAGCAGCGAATGAATTAAACAAAAAGCTTTGATATCGAGGATGCTCTCTGATGCTTCATCACAACTCTTCGTTACTGTAAACATTTTATAAATGTCATATCGGAAAAGTAATGTACTGAATTTCAGACAATATTAGTGATTTTGTGCGCGCGTATTGTGCAACGGTAATGACAGCGAAACTCAATACGGAGAATGAGAAATCGAATCGTACACAGCTATCGGGCTGGCTTGTTTTTTCACGTTAACAATTATTGAGATAATTGATTTCGAAAGTCGGTACCGTGTTTAATGAAACGATACAAAGCGACCGAGCGGAGAGAGAGACGCGCGTCACGTGTAATAACTCGTGTAACTCAATAAATGCTCGCACAGATTTGTGCGCGAACTCTGTCATTATTGCTACTCTCGGAATTATGTTCTTTGTATCCCGTCAAATGTGTGCCGGATTTTTTTATCAGCGAAATTACGGCAGATTTATATCTCTCATCCGGGAATCGTACATTACGTCGGATAGATTTGCCGCGTAAAACCACCAGGATGACTCCCTCGATGTTACATTGGCTCGATAATCCCGTGACACAATTAGCAATGAAGCAACGGGATTTGTTCCTGCATTGTGCGAATGGAGTACATCGGGATGAAAATTCCTGTATTTTTGCGCTTCTAATCCTTGCGCCTTGCAGTAAAAACGGGTTGCAGTATCTTGTACGTTAATATTTATAGCGGTCGGCAATCTGAATATATCGAGATATTTTGTCTTGTATATAAAGACGCTATAAAAATCTCCCGAATATAAATTTATTTTTTAAAATACCGTAGAATTTATTAAATACCGAAAATATAACTGAATTTCTCTGTTA